GGCGCCTTGGTGTATAGCTTGGCCAATTGTTGCAGTGAAGACAAGCTGGAAAAATCGACTCCAGTGGAAAACGCAGTGAACAAATCTGCGAATCTCCCAAAACACAGCAGAATCGACAGAGAAATGGTCGAGGAGGAGGAGGAGGAGGAGCCTGGAGGAGGCAGGCAGGACCGCGGGCACCCATGCTGACATCACGGGAGAAACCACTGTCACTGCACTGCCCTTGCAGATGTGCTGCAGCCAATGTTTGCGTGGATCTCTGCCAATGCAAAACCTCAAAACACCGAGTGAAAAACGAAGTGAATTTCGCGCTTACTTCCTTTGACCTCATTCCTGGCCAAACAAGAACCCGCGCGAAATTCACCTCGAATTCCGGAACGAAATTATCCAGGACACTCCGGGCCCACCCGATCGGGTTCCGAACGAAATCCCGTCTGCGATGTTGGCGACATGACAACTGGCGAGAATCGGAAAAAAGGGGCGCGACAACAGCGTCAAAAAGCACTCTGCACCAGCGTCGTGACAGTGGAACATCATGCCACACCGCACACCTGAGCTGCAACTCGACGCCCCAAGTAAACTCCCAAGAGTCACAATGGTCAGCAGAATGCATCACCTGATATAGTGCGTGCTCCGAGCCATGGGCGTCTTCGATAATGCCGCGAGACCAGATATTAGCCTGGTATTTTCGATAGATGGCAGCAATCTCGACGGCGGTCAATAAAATTCTGGTCCTGGGAATCGAGCAATCCTCAGGGAGAGCCCAAGGGAGTCTGGATTCTGGATTATTCGCCAGGATGGCTACAAGTTAACCTCTTGTCTTCTAAGATGGATGCAGACACCCACACAGATTCAGACACACACACACACACACACACACACACACACACACACACACACACACACACACACACACAAACAAACAAACAAACAAACAAACAAACAAACAAACAAACATGTGGGTAGCTCCCGCCATCCCAGGAGAGGGGAAGATGCCGCAAGCGGGGGGCCTCGAGTTTCAAACTGTCGAGGCAGATGCCGCGACGCTCGCGATCTGCAAGCGGCCGACCGTGCGCCCTCGCCCGTGAGTGCCGCGGGTCGGCAGAGGCTGGCTCAGACGAACGTCGTGCTCGGAATGCTGGACCCTGGGACCTCGCAGAACTCGCAGACGGACATGCCCTGCATCAACAGCAGCCCACAAGTGTCACACTGGCCACAGTGAATGCCGCATTGCCGCATGCTGCACGGCCTGCGGCCGAGCTCGTTCCGCACCTTGTCCAGGGTGACCAGGGAGCCGTGCAGCCAGCAACAGATGCCTTTCGGCATTGGAACGTTCCACTGCATCAGCAAATACGACAGTGTTAGGACCTGCGTGCTCAGCGGCGTCGGCTGGTACTGCGGGTTGGCCAGCTGCCCTCGCTCTTTCCCAGGACTGCTGGACAGCTCCGCCGCGGCGCCATCTGTGGCCCCTCCTGGCTGCAGCAAGCCATGCTCGGGCACTGGGGGAAAGAAGCTGGAGCCCATGTTGGGCACGAGTGAGCGGCTGCTGGAGCTGCTGGCCTGCCTCACCTCCACCACGCCGCTGAACTCCGCGAGACCCTTGCACGCTGGGCCGTCCGAATCGCACGCTTCGGTCCTGCCAGGCGACCTCGTGCCAGGCGGCGTCGTGCCCCCGCGGCTGGCCTTTCCAGGTGTGAGAGCTTCCACCGCCGTGTCCAACGCCTCCTCCACAACATTGTTCAGCATAGTGGTCAAATCGTTGCTGATCTGCTGGGCCGCGGGGCGCAGGGCCGGCATCGGCTTGGTGCACTGCTCCACCACTAGTCGGCAGGCCTGCGTGAGCTCGTCGGCGGGCTCGGGCCACGACAGGCTCGGCGACTGGCCGTGCCTCAGCCGCTTCAGCATCCGCTCCGCGTTCGCGCCCTCAAAGGGCAAGCTCCCTGTCACGATGAAGTACGTAAGCAGTCCGAACGAGTAGCAATCGGCGGCGGTGTCTGGTGGAACGGCATGCTGCAAGACCAGCTCTGGCGCCATCCACCGCAACGTGCCGCCCAGAGGCTTGGCGCGTCGGGTGATGATCCGGGAGAGGCCGAAGTCGAGGAGCTTGGCGTGGAACGACGTTCGCCCACTCCTGCTGAGCCGCTCCTCCACGAAGATGTTGGAATCCTTCAGATCGCCGTGGACGACAGCAGGCTCCCTCGAGTGCAGGTAGCGCAGCACGTTCAGGATATCGAAGACGATCGAAGGCCGCGCGGAGGCGCTTCGGTCCAGAGCCCCGGCACGGCCGCACGAGTCCTCGGGCTGATCGGGGCCTCTGCACAGGCCGCGGATGAAAAAGCCGAGGGACACACCATCCACGAACTCGAGCACCAGGCACAGCTTGTTCAGGGCAGCGTCCATGCACGCTCCGTAGAAGGACGCGATGTTGGGATGGCGGAGGCGGCGAAGGATCTTCAGCTCGTTGCACAGCGTGGGGAGGGCCGCTCGCACGATGCCCTCCTTCGGCGCCTTCACCGCCACCAGGGTGTTGTGGTACAAGCCTGCCACAACGATGCCGAAACCACCCTCACCGAGAACCCTGTCGGACACGAGTTCCACTTCGCCGTTGGCGATGAGCCACTGCTCCCGCAGGCCTATGGCGCGTATCTGGCCCATCGACTCGCCATCCACGCCGCAGCCGTCGAAGACCAAGGCGCTCTTGGTCGTCTCCGGGCACGACATGGTTACAGATCGTGAGGAGCCGACGTCCTCGCGGCCCGCCGCGGACTCGCCGCGGTCCACCCTGGACAGCTGGAACTCCGCCTGGAAGCGCATCTGCTTCTCCGCCAGGAGCCCCTTGAACATCGCGCGCTCCTGCCTCTCGAAGGCCCGCTTCCCGAGGGCCGCGAACACGGTGAGCGCCAGGAGCCCCACCAGGGCACCGTGGGCTATCTGCACGGCGGGGCTGCCGAGCGTCAGCGCAGGCACGGCGTACGCCAGGAATGCGATCGCCTCAAGCGGCGCGAGGACCACCCAGCGTACAGGCACCAGGAGGTGCACAGCGGTGACTACACAGTCGATGTACAGCACCAGGGTACCGTCGGTGGGGCTCATATCCACGCCCCATATAGCCTTCGTGTCGTCGTAGCCGAACGCTCGCGCGAGGTAGTGCTTCGTGATCAGTGGCATCGCGATCAAGACGATACTGCATGTAATCACGACGGCGATCTCCAAGCCCAGGGTGCCAATAAGATTGCACCTGGCAAACAGCGTCCCAAAGCCGAGGCCCAAGTTTACGGACACCATCAAGGCGAAGTACAAGATCGTCTGCAACCTGCTGAGCTCCCGAGCCTCAGTCATGGCGTTCTGGTCCTGGTCCAAAAATATTTGGGACATGATTGTCATGATGCCTACAACGGTGAAGAGGGCCATCATCACCAATACGCGGTGGGACAGCCGCGCCTTGTGGGCTTTCGCAAAGCCCGCCTCTTGCATCGGGTCTTCGAACCTAAGTGTGAAACGGTCGACGCCGTTCTCGTACCTCGCCCGTCTGCAGCAGTGGCACAGCCTGTCGCAACAGGCCCTCCATCTGCGCCCATCGCTGGATGAACTTGACATTTTTTCGACACAAGAACTCAAGCAAGCAAGCTCGTTCGAGTTCAATGAGTCGGAAAGTATTTGAACCAAAATGAACCATGGAGGGCCACGCTGATCCATCTGGGACCTCGCTGCTCCCTAGGTGGCTGCGAGCTGCACAACTGTCGCCATTTAGGCTCCTGAGACGTCAACCGAATCGGGGGCCACCCGCACCCATTTGAGACCTCGTGGCTCCCTGTGTTGCTGCACGCTGCGCATATGTCGCTACTTTCGTGGGTTCCTGGGAGTTCCAGCGGAGTCGGGGACCACACGGATCCAGCCGAGACCTCGCGGCTCCTTGGGGCCCAAAAATTCTCAAATGATTTCCCGGGGGTCCTCTTGGCTCCAATTAGGAGAGCGGCGTTCTGCTAGTTTGCTTCAAAGTATACGCACTCGCTGCTCCACCGTTCATTAGCACAGCGGTGCTCTGCTAAGTGGCCTCAAGGCGGGTTCCCCATCCTGCTCGGGCCCGGATTAGCAGAGCGCCGGCTCTGATTAGCAGAGCGCCGCTCTGCTAACCCTCAAAGCATCTGCGCGTGAACTGCTCCTCCTCTCATTAACAGAGCGCCGCTCTGCTAAATGGACTCAGAGCATGCGCGCTTGCTGCTCATGCTTTGTTCACCCGAGAAATGATCTGCCAAGTGCTCCATAGGCCAGAGGGCAAGAAGGGCCAAGAGGGCCCCAAAAAGCGCCCAAGAGGGTCCAAGAGGCCTCCAAGACAGCCCAAGAGCGCTCCAAGACGCCCAAAATGGGCCCAAGACGGCCCAGGAGGCCCCATAGAAGCCCCAAGAGCGCTCCAAGAGGACCCCCAAGAGAGCCAAAAGAGGCAAAAATCATTGGCATTCCTTGTGTCATTTGGTATTTGTGGCGTTCTCGCATTTTCGGGCTTCCGACTCTCCAAGATTGCCCCAAAGGGCCCCGTCGATAAAATGCGCTTTTCACCACAAGCAGTTGCGCCTTACTGCGAGCAGTTCAAAAGAGGCCAAGCCCCCCCTTCGTCCTGGCGTCGGGAGGACTTGCAACAAAAAACAGCGTCGGGAAGGGAGGCAAGTGGATGTGGCAGCAATGATCTTCAACACTGCTACTTTTCCCGTCCTCATCCTTCCGGTACTTCGCCCGCCCACATGGCGGGCGGGCGCACTCCAACAAAAAAATCCCACCGGAGGCAGGTGTGATCGCATGATCCGCAAAAGGGATCATGGCGGGATCTTCGCCCCGAAAGGTCCTCCACCGGAGACGCAAAAAGAAACCCACCTCCACCGGAGGCGGAAGCGAACCGCAGATGGGCCATTCGCAAAATCTTCGCCCCGAAAGCCGTCGACGGGAGGGCGACGCAAGCTGGGACTCAGCCGCCCGCGGGATCTTCGCCCCGCACTGTCCTCCGCCGGAGAGAAGAGATATCCTGCGGGGATTCCGCCCCGAAACGCCCTCCACTGAAGGATGGTGTCATAGCCAGCAACACGTGCGACGTCGAGCCAGCTGCCCAGGTCTAACCGGGGGACGCCACCCCGCCTCTCGCGCGGCCGGGGGGCCGCCACTGGCGGCTCCGTTCACCCAGGCCGCTTCAGCGCCCGCCCTTCGGGGCACCGTCGGCAAGGGAACGGGGGCACAGATTGCCCCAGTGGCCCTCCTGGAAGCACACGCGGCACACATTGCGCCCCAGCAGCCCCGAGGGAATGCTCCCTGGGGGGAACTGGCCCGCTGCGGAAGAGGAGACGCGGCCCCTGCGCGTCTTCTCGGGTCTCTCGCTGACCGGCCCACTCCGCTTGCCCTTCTCATTGGGCCCCTTGCATGTGGCGCCCCGCTTGCGACCCACGCCGTGGCCCGCGGCGGAGCAGCTCGCCCCCGAGCTCCCCCGCCTGCCGCGGCCGCGCCAGAGGCCAACCTACGGCGGACTGGCGCCTCGCACCGCACTTGGGCAGCTCCACGCCGGCGCCGCCGCCCCCCGACGAGGCCGGCTCCTCTCCTCTACTTGACCCGGCCCGGCGGCGGTGCACGATCGCCTCGCGCGCCTGCGCCTGCGTTCTCGCCCGGCGAGCCCGCCCCATCCCCAGCTTTTCAACGCGGTCACAGCGGCGGGCGGCCTGGCGGCCGAGGACGAGCATCCAGTAGGCCGTTGCCGCCAGAAACTGTTCCTGCAGCGCAACCACGCGGCCCCACCTCGCACACTTCTTGCCGTCGCGAACCTCGCCGTTCCAGCGCTCGGGCAGGTCCTCCAACGCGCGCGGCGATGGGCGGACCACATGGCCCAGACACGCCACGGGGAAGAAGTTCCCGAGCCAGAGAAGCCAGCAGCTGTCGCCCAGCTCCTGGACCGCCTCGCGGTCAAACGTGAGCACGTGAGCCACTGATCGCCCACCTCCAGGACTCGCTCTTCGCCCGCAGCGCCACCCCCCGCCGCGCCGTCGCCGCCGCGCCCCCGGCGCGCCCAGCACACAGGCCCTGACCGCGGGCCGAACTGAGGCCCATGCCACGCACACTTGCCCACCTTGCGCTAACCGCGCTCCTTTGAAATTGGGGCCGGGCCCCGCGGCGCCTGCTTGTCCTTGGGCGGCGGGATCTGGCGGCCGCCGTCCGATTCTTCCTCGACAACGCCGCGCCCCGCGCGGGGTGGTGTCCGGCTGCGGCCCCGCCGCCCCGCGTCGCCACCCGGCGGGGGCGCCGCCCCCGCGTCGTCTCGACCAGCCATGGCGAGGGGACAGGCAGTGGATGAATCGCGCGCGCAGGCGCTCGCTTGGGCCTCAACAGCCGCGCGACGCACCTCGTCATGGAGTGGGAGAGGACGGGGCGGGGCGGAGGACCTCGTTGCTCCCCGTCGCCAGTCGCCTTGCGTCGCACGCAAGATTTCAGGGCGGCGAGCCACGCGGCACAGCGCCGATCGTCGGGGGCGCTGCCGTCGATCTTCGCATGATCGCACAGGCTCCGACAGTCCAGTCGGCAAACAGCGCGAGCGGCATCTGTGCCTCGCCGTACTCCACCACCGGTGCGTCGCTCCATCAGCGCAGGGCCTCGCACAGGAGCGCCCGCATGTAGCGGGCCATACCATGACCCGCAAGACACTCCGCCGTCTCGGCGGAGAACGTCGAAGCAACCACACGGTGGCTCGCCGGGCTGCGCCAGTCCAGGATGGACATAGGCAGCTCTTCCTGCACCATACAGTCCAGGTCGCCCACTGCCACCACCACTCCGGTCTGCGACTGGACCTTGCGACGACCGAACCTCTCGAGGTCCTCGTCTGTCTCCGGAGCTCGCTGACGTTACCATGAAGCGAGGAGTCACGCCAGTAGCCCACCCCCATGCGGCGCTTGATCGGCACGATTCTCAGAAAGATGTCGCGGCTGGCTTTGACGCCCCTGATACACGTGTTCAGCCCCCGCGCGTCCGCAAGGGTTGGCTCCTTCTGTGGCTTCTGGAATCGGTTCGGCTTGAAGGCCGCGTCTAGCGGGCACTGTCCGGCCAGCCAGTGTAGGGAGCCCACCGCCGACTGAAACTCTGCTCTACAATGCGGGGTGAGCGGCACCTCCGCCTTCTACGTCTGCCCGCAATTGACCTCCTCCTGGCGCCCGTCAATGAACTCCGGCATGCTGACCTCAACCCAGCCCCCGTTCACCATGACCCGACGGCTGGCGTAAAAAACGCCGTTGGTCTGCCCCGACACCACTGTCCAGGACCCAGAAGGGAACCTGTCCTTGAGCTTGGCCCCCTATATCCCCCATTATCGCACCACCGTCGCGCGCGATCACGCCGTCGCCCACATGGACGATCAACGCGACAATACAACGGTCGCCCAAGTAAAAGCAGAAAAACGCCGCGTCCAGCGGCAGCTGCTTCCAACCCACGCCTTCGACCAAGGCCTTGCGAAGCGTTGAAGCATGCTCGTGGAGCGTCAAGCAGCCCGCAGATTCCCCTGTCGATCCTGAGCAATTGGCCTGGCTCCAGCCGGGGCAGGCCGCCCACGGGCTGCCGAATGCATAACGCCCCCATGGCCCCGGCGCGGCCTCCCCCAGAGGAATGCGCTCGAGACGTCACCGATCGACAGCTGGAGAAGCCATCCGATATTCGCGGACAACTGCAGGAAAGCGCGGAAACCGGACCGTTGCACTGCAGCGGGGGCGTCGGTCTTCACCGCCCCTAACTTTGCGCCGGGGCCATGCTGACCCTGCGCGCTCATCCGGGATTTTGCCTTTACTGGCATAGGGCCCCGGTGCCGCGCAAAGCCGCGCGCTTGTCTGTTAGTTGCATGTCGCTGCCGAGGATTCGCCAACGATCCACCGTTCGCAACACTTCCTCCGACGCGCCCGGCTCCTGCACGGTCGCGCACTTATAGCGCAGCCACGAGTCCCACTCCTTCTCGATCGCCACGCGCAACTCTCGATCTCGATGTCGCGCGGCCCAGCATGGTGGACCCGGCCCCCCAGTGATACGCCGACGTCACTTCGTGCGTGGGTCGAGAACCGGCCTGCTCGGGCCCGTCTACTCGCCCCATCGTCGCGGGAATTTCCACCGCGACGAGCGTCGGCTAGCGCCCCCGCTTCTTCTCTTCCTCGAACAGCACGGGCATTCGGTCGGCAGGAGGTCGGATGGATCACTTCCGCGGGGTTCATCGTCTGAGCCTAAATGTTCGCTGCTGCGCCATGACACCCGCGGTTCTCACAAGTCGCACGCGGCGACCACTGCCCCGCGGGGCGCCGCCCCTCCGGCGTCACCCTGGCCCCGGACGGGTTGTCCCTGCTCGGATAAGGCCCATCCTGGGACACTCGCGCACCGCGCCAACTCTGGGGGGAGGCCCGAGGGCAGGCCGCTCCCCTGCGCGGCCCCAGGGTTCGCGGCGGCGTCGCCCACGACGTCTTCGTCGTCGACCTCTGCCGCCGCTGGAGCGCCCTCCCTCGCCGAGAGCGGGGGCCCGTCGTCGGGCCCCCCCCGGCACCAGACCCCCGGCCGCTTCTCGGTCATCCAGTTCGGGGCTCAGGCCCGCTCCGCGCGACTCATCGCCTGGCAGATCTCGTCGAGCGATCTGCGCAGCCCCCCATCCTCGGCCATGCGTTTTTCTTCGGG